AAAAAAAATTATTAAATCCATTTTTGGGCTTTTTAAGGTATGATCTACCCGTACTAAATTGTTTACTTCATGAACGATACAAATAGTATCATTCTTTGGTTGTTGAATATTAATCAAAAAGGATAAATAATAACTTTAATGAATATTMAGCAATATCTTACGCTAAAACTTCCGTTCTAAATAACAAACMTATATGAATCGCTAACTGCAAAAACGGGACAAGACCATTTTTATCAATTTTGATTTTATTATCATTTTTCGTTAAGCGCGGGTAAATACATCGTTTACTGTAGAAAGCAGTCAAATCCGACTACCCAAACGCTAAATATAGTGTTAACAAGCCAAGCCTAAATCGGTTTCGATAAAATATTTCRTTACGTATCAAACAAAAAACAAACAGTATGTATAAAAGTGCTTTTTTGAGTGTTTTCGGTATAACAAAAAAATGCTGTGAACGTCTAATTTTTTTTATCTAAAAATAATCTAAGTCTACRGGATATGCGAGGAAAAAATGTAAGTGGTAATACATTGGGTGGTGAAATTATGACTGATATTCATGGTTATTTAGAACCTTTTCCAGTGAAATTATTTCACTACATTGAAAAGGAAATCAAATATTTGGATGTAAAATTGTCTGTCAAAAAAATGTACGAAATGTTTTAAGGAAAATAAACTTATTACAAAGTTTCTTATAAATCTTTCTGGTCGTATTTTAAGTTGAAAGATATCAAAAATATATTGAAATTTACCTCGGAGAATTATATTGGATTTTAGAAACCAATAAGTGAATGGCCTTCAAAATCTGATGAAAATGTATTAGACTAAAAATATCATGACAAAAATGTAGGTATTAAAAATAATATCATCAATGTATTTTAATTATAAGTTGTAGTTCAAAAAAAAAATAAATAAATAAAAATTTTAAAACGTCAAAAATAATTTTATATTTATATTTAATAATAACATAAGTTATATATTTTGGTAAAAAAATTGATGAATAAAAACAATATTTTGCATATTCTGATAGTGTTTCTCTCCCTACATCAATTAATAAGATATGAAAACAATGTTTTCTGCAAAAAGGAGACATGTCCATAACCTAAATTTAATAATTAAAAAAAAGTTATAAAACTTTTTTTTTACAAATTAAATGAAATTTTTAAGTGGTTTAATTAAATATAGAGTCAAAAATTTCTAAATTTTTACATTAACATTACATTAAGTTGTTTAGTTTTTCATCATTCCTGAAAAATTAGGAAAAGTGGACTTGTTCCCTTTCTGCAGTTAGCAATTCATATAGTATTGTATAAGTTACCTACTGGCTACTTGGAATTTAATCACGCAAATTTCTACCGTAAATAATTTTATTGGTATTAATTATATTCAATTTTAGTTCAGAGTGAAACCGTCTGAAATCSTATACTTGTTTTCGTGTACCTGCAACACCTTTTTAGGATCGTATGATAAAAACCTTCTCAAATTTCATGTCACCTTTACAAATAGAATAGTTATTTAGTTGGAGMTTTAAATAGGTAATCATTTAATGATTGTAATAGCGTAAGAAAATACTTTATTCTCGACATAGGTAATAAAAATATCGATGAAATGAACCTAAGCCGCAAGTGCGGTCTTAACTGAGTTCCATTCAGACTCATTTTTTAATTGCAATGGTTTTTATTGCTTTTTCTTTTTTTCACAGAGTGAATCGAGACAATAAAATCTTTTTTTCTTTTACTTTGCAGCGTGTACCTTATATCTGCTAAGAATAGATATTAGTAAAGATATACTATAGTACCATTGTGTTAGTAAAGTATTTACATGATGAATCACAAATTGAATTAAATCAAAAAATGTACATAACATTTTAAATATAAAACATTATACAAATGTCAAATAATATTATTCTATTGGTAATGATTGATGTTWAAAAAAAACTATAATTGTATTAACATTTTTGAACTATTGTAGGATACATCGAAAGCGTTCACAGGCCGCATGTTAGAGACCCCGGCTGAAATTTATATATTCTTTATCTATGTATAATTAATATTATTTATATGWGGTTTAAAAATTGGCAAATATAATATTTTGAGTGTAATGGGTGTTTTTTGTCTTCATTAGAAGGACGTCAATGCTTATTATTACTTTGAAGCATCTCTCAATTCGTATTTTTAATTTATTTATTTTTCAAAAACCAAAATATTATTTATTTAAAACGGACATTTAGCACCTCTCTTTATTTTGGTTTTAKTTTCTACTTACACTTTCTATTAAAATGTGTTAACCCATAAATATTATGTAGATATACATCACTATAGGTATTTAATATATTTTTTTATAGATTTAATTTTATATTTCATTGTGTTGYCCAAAACTTTATTTATCTTTTAATACATTTGGCATATTCTAAACAAAAAATTATGGTATACTGTTATTAGCATACCTATATTTTTATAGTTAAACCTAATAATATTATGATTTTCATAGGATTCTTTTAAACCATAAAATCACTTTTATTACGAAAATCCCTGTCATCGCATTGTCCCATAATGATTATTAGCACAACTCCTTTTAAGTTCTAACAATACTCCATAATTGTTTGAAGATAATGTTTCATTGTTTTTATTMATTGATGTGATAATTATGACGTATCTTATTATAATTATATTATGTGACAAGAACAATGATACTCATTACTTCGACTAAATACTAAAAATAATAGGCAGTTTAGCAGTTATTAGCTAAGCTTTAAAACTGGTATTTCATTAAATCTCCTGCAACCTATTGATTTTTCACGACTGTTTATAGCTAGTTAACATCAGAAAATGTGACCGTGCAGATATCCATATGTACCTATCTGAAATACACAATTAAATAACAACGTCGAATTATTTTTATAATCATATCTATTCTGATCATTATTTAAATATTTAAAATAATAACCAATTTTGTATTGATAAATTATCCACCGTTCTGATATAACATTCAGCATCATTGAAGGTAAAAAATACGTAAATAATATCTATGATGTTAAACTAACCATAAGCATAATATTTATGATTCAATTTTGACACATATATAATATTACAATAGGTATTTTGTAAATATTTTTGGAGATAATTATTTATTGTTTTAATATGATATCAAATGGTTAGTAATTTTTCAATTTATTATTGTTTTAGTTTAATGCTTTTGGATAAAAGTAATCATATATAGTATGCAGACAACAGAATCATTTCAAAACGTGGATTATTAGACCGGACAACTTCAGTTTAGGTTTGTTTAATAATAATAATATATTATTGGAATTCAATTATGCCTCACATTTCATTTAAAAAAAAAATGATATGTCCTATATTAAGTTATAACTAATAAAGTAATAACACAAAGGTATCATTAACAACGATATTAAGTTGCGACATCTTTCAATAATTTATAAAGGTGAAAGGTGTGTATTATAATCGGTGGCATATTTTATGCAGGCACTATAGGTACCTTCGTAAAGCTTTACATTTTGAAGGACGGTAAATTTAAACAATTTTAAGCAAATGTAAAAATAATGTAATGTTACATTATTATTTTTTTTTTTTTGAAGTGAGATGGGTAAAAGTTTGAGAATTGAAAAGGACGCTCTAAATTTTTGATATTCTTTGATCTAAAAAGTTCTTTCAGCCTGGATTGATAGACAAAAGTTTTTAATATTTGTATTCTTTTATATTTTCTTGTATAAAAACAAAAAATGTCTCACCTTACTTTTATATTTTTAATCTTAACTGTATGCTATTCTTAGGAATTACATTATTTTAGTGTAATGAATCATAATATATAATTTGGAGTAAAAAAAAAAGGTGATGACAATATCTAAATATTTATTAAGCCCGAAAGCAGTGATTATTGGAATATGACAGTACTTACTATTCATCGTGTATCTTCACATATTTTTATAAATAAACAATTTTTAATAATCTATTATTTATAAAGTGGTAAATTTAATTATATGGACTGCTATAGACGACAGTTTTTAATTAGTATCTATTTTTATAAAAACAATAATTTTAAATAATAGGTGTTAAAAAACATGTATTGTTGAGAACAGAATTAAATTATAATTTATTAATATTAAACTTTTTATTTACCAAGCTTTTAATTTATTTYCAACCGTATTGCAATTTACTAGATCCGGTGACATGTTTGAAAATATAAAAGATTATTATATTTCGGAATTTCTAGCACATGAATAACAAAACAAATATTTCTTTATATATATATATATATAATCATTTTTCTTTATTTGTTAGTTCTGTTTGTACTACGCAATCTGTAAATTTATTATTTGAATAAACATACGTGCAGACTGCAATCTATCATAATGTGATGTGACATTTGACTTGATATACATGAAGAAGTTCAGTCACCTAATGACAACACATTTTAACTTAAATTAAATATAAATTATGCATGGGTGATTTATAATAATACTTACTATTGTTGCAATATTCTTTCTGTAAATACCTTCAAATTCGAGTGTATTTTATTCTAATTGTTTGTTCCAAGTCTAAAAATGTACCTTTCATCTTTGATTCTAAAGCGTTCTTTTTTAAATCCATTGTGCTCAGTATCGTTTCAAATGTATTGTTAGGTTTTCGAGCCTTTGTATAGCTATTTATATAATATATAATATGTTTACTCACTGTGTTATGTTAACACTTTATTTACCTACTTAAATATTTTAAATCACACAATGGGAGTATATTTTATTTAAATCGATAATATTATTCATCTTGTTTTAATAAAACACATAATATGCCAATTATACTGTGATAATAAAAGTTTGTATTTCAGTTGACGAGTGATGTTATTATATAAACTATTATACCACGAGGGTGAGTACGTCTTTATAAATTTATAATGAAGTGTGAGATGACTTTCAAAAGTCCTTTATCAATGGCGTAGCCAAGATTTATAAAAGGGAAAGAGCAATAAATAATACTTGTCCGTGGAGTATGGAACTACTGATATAAAATCAATATTAAAAAAAAAAAAAAATAAAAAAAATACGACTGGAGAGCTCCTCTAGCCCTCCTGACTATGCCACTGTCCTTTATGTTATAAATTAAACACTATAATATATATTGGAACTATAATCAATGAATAAAAATTAATCAATTTATAGATTTAGGTGCTATATGGTCCTTGTGAGAGGAATGTTTGAAGAATGGCTCAAACGATGTCGCGAATCTCGCCAACTCGTAGTGGTGATCGTAGCTATAGCTTT